ACTAAAGTGCAATGTCGAAAATCAGTCCTAATTTCGAAATGGGTTTAAACTGCCACGTCTTCGAAACTTTAAGGACCAATTTCGAAACATTCTGTTTTCTTCTTCAATTCATTACCCAATTGGTGAATCAGGTGACGAAGGCTTCCTGTCTCCTTCCCAACTCGTTATCAAAATTTCGAAAGTAAGCCATAAAAATCTTCGTTAGTCGATACCCGATTCTCACAACCAAACTTTCGAAACTTTTTAACCCAATTCATCAAAACCTTCGAAATTGAGATATGGCTTCTTAGTCTCGACTCCAAAATCTTCGAAAGTATGTACTCAAGCAATAGCCTAAATATCCCACTCCCAAAACATAATCATCGACATCTATTCACTGTGAAACCTTCAAAATCAAGACATAAAAATCCGATTATCACACCTTCGTTATTAATCTCTTTCTCATGTCGACTCCAATACACCATCTGTTTCCGATGTAGACTCCACATAGCTTTCGACTCAACCAAAACAGATTTCAGTCAAAATCGATCCTTAACCCCATTAGTCGACATACGATTCTAGTTAAATTCGACTTTTGCTTTTCATTCACCAACAATTTTCGATCACAAACCAACATCGACATTCAACAAAATCAAAACGAATCCACATCGACACCAAAAACCATCGAAATATTGATTATCAATTTCCCAGTCATTTCCCAAACCTTCATTCTTTGACCCCGTCGTCTTCACAAGTCGACATCGACATCTAATTTGAGACTTTCAAAACTTTAATCTCTTCATCTACCCATTCCATACACCAGTTCGACTTTCAAATCACGTTCAAGAAGCACAAAATAAAAAAGATTCAACCTTCATTTCAGTTCGTCACTTTGACATCAAGAACAACAACATCGACCAAAATTTTAAATTTGACTCAAATTAGACTAGATTTTGACTCTCTCAACTTCAAAACAACTTCTAACTACCGATTTCAGCATACAATTCACCAATTCATCTCTTGAATTCCAACTTTGACTTTTTCACAGTTTGACTTTTCGAAGTCAAACACCAAATTGATGAATCAAACACCAAATTTTAGATCAAAACGTGTTCAAACAACTGTTCTAAACCTCCTTCAAGTGTTCTTGGTCAAGTTCATCGAAATCAAAGAAACAATTCATGATTTCTGAAGTTCGATAATCCATACAAAGAACTGGGAACCAACTCCCGACAAAGAACTGGGAACCAACTCCCGACAAAGCCCTAGGGGTTGTGACTTCCTTGCTACGCGTATGGGTCCTGTGCTTTCAGTAGTACGGGCCCATACTACCTTCCACACCTACCCATATTTGTCTCAAGTATCATCACAACACCCCAACAATATACATAATCATAGCGAGCACTCAAGCCTCACTCCTAGAGGAAGGCTAAATATCCCGTAGTCGGCGGACTCATCCCAAACAACCTACCCATCCATGAAACTTCCACCAACCCTGCAGCACTCGTGTATGCTAACCATACATAACGTTGGACCCTATAGACTTTCGAATCTCGGTCCTACTCTAAGCCCACAACCAGACAAGAACATGAAAAAGAAAGCCAAACCAAACATTCTCAGGCTATAAGATCTTACTTATGTATAGTCGTGATGGCATACACTAAGCAACTATAGTAATGATGTCAATTTCTTATAAGGAAAACCCTAGGCTATCAGGCATCATATAATCAGGCAATTCTATCGTGAAATTCCTGAAGATCCCTAGCCTAGTACTAGCATGATGTTCTAATCATATCTCATAACTCACATAACTCGTAAGGTATTTTGGGGTCTATCCGCGAGCTCCGGCTGATCGTACACTTGCATCCTCCTGTTATTATTTTGAAAACATTTTAAGAAAATCGTTTTATATAACCTTGTCCTCAGTTTGAGACTGGAGACCATGAGTGTTTCCTCCAATTCACTCAAACCAAGGCTCGATACCAACTTGTAACATCCATAAAATTCGAGCCAATTTAAACTTTTTAAAACATTTCAAAACACATGATTATCATAAACTTGTTTTCAAAATAGTATATTATCAGAGTATCCCAGAATCAAATCATAAAGTCATAAAAGTAAGAGCGGTACGATCACGCCTTTTCCTTCCCGCGAATCATCAAAGTACCTGAAACAATACTCGATAAATGTAAGCTCGAAGGCTTAGTGAGTTACCCCCCAAAATACCAACGCCATACAGTCGATAATCGTATCATATAACATATAAAGAAAACAACGCATAATGAGCCATCAGTCTGGACTGGACCGAATCCCGGTCCTCAGTCTATCTGGACCGCTCTCCGAGCCCTCGGCACGTCTGGACCGCCTTCCTCGGGGGCTTCAGCCTATCCGGACAGCTCGCTGGGCCTTCAGCCTGACTAGATTTGCCCGGCCCGGGTCTGCAGTCTACCCGGTCCGCCCAGGGTGTCTTGGCCTACTGCACACAGCAGGACCTTGCCTCAACCCTTTCCCCAAACCAACAAACATGTTCACATATATATAAACAAGTAAACATGCAGATCTAACAGATCACTAATCATGGCAACCATCCTATAACCAGGATACTGATCTAACCGATCTCTAGCATAGCAACCATTCTAAACTAGGATGAAACCTAACATAGCAATAACATAGTGACCATCCTAAACCAGGATTAACCATAAAGGGTCGGCCTTGGTGCCGTAGCCCTGTGATATAGTGAGGATAATCACCTCCCAAAATGTCGCACTGAAGTGAGGCTCAACTCTCGAATCGCCAACAAGAACTCCACCACCTACAGTTACCATAAAACCCTTTTCCATAAATTTCCAAATTACCAAAATGCCCCTGCCCCCAGAGGTCAACTAGTCAACCCTTGGTCAAAGTCAAGGTCCACAGTCAAAGTCGAACAGTCCATGTTACCCGCTCGTCGAGTGTAGTTCAACCGACTCGTCGAGTCCTTCCTGAACTCGAGAAGTCGTGAAACCCCTGGTTGACTCGTCGAGTTCCCCTATAACTCGCCGAGTTCATACGTGTCCAAAGGTTCAGGAAAAACCCTAGCCGACTCGCCGAGTCATTCGACTGACTCGCCGAGCCAAGGCACTTCCATCGGACTCGCCGAGTTGTTCATCCAACTTGTCGAGTACATGACTATCGCTTTCATATGACTGACTCCCGAGTCGACCTTGCGATTCGCCGATCCCTTCCATCCTTCAACATACAGATGCTTTTTAAGCCATGCAAAGGTTCCAGATTAAGATCCAACCTTCCAAGGCATGCTTATCACGTAAAGTTGCAAACTTTACGTGCATGCAAGGCTTTAAGGCCCTTAAATGACAAAACTATGCTTGCAACGAAGTCTCATACTTGAGGGAAGGCTCATTCTGGTCAAGACTGATAACTTTATGGATCTAGAGGCCAAAGGGGGTCCAGATCTGAAGTTACAACTTCAGATCTTAGCTCAAACATAAGAAGCCTTTCATAAAGCCCATCCAAAAGAGGTTTTTGATGAACATGAGCCAAGGAAACAGTCTAATACCTTCAAGAGAGTGTTCACTGATGTAGATCCTGAATCCCACGAGTTCTTGCTTCTACTTGCTTGCTTTCCCCAAGTGTTCCCATCCTTCAAACCTCCTCCCCAAGCTGAACACACCAAAAGAACACACACACTCGATTTAGGTTTGAGGGGGACAACGCAGTAAAGGGGAGGCTGGGGGAGGCCAATGATCCTTTAAATAGGGTGCACTACCCCGAAATTTAGGGTTTCATCTGCCAGCTCCTACTCGTCGAGTCCCCTTGTGGACTCGGCGAGTAGGTCACTAAATTACACGGACTAACCCGTTGCTACTCGACGAGTAGGGCAACCAACTCGTCGAGTAGACCTTGGAAACAAGGAGATTCTTATAAAATCAATACCTGAGAATCGGGGCGTTACATTTATAGAAGCATTGATAGGTGCAGGGCATTCAAAGGTGAAGGAGCATTCATAGGTTTATGGGTATTCACAGCCTCACAGGTACAACAATATTTGCAATATTATACATTTCCAACATCAAATATCTATACCACTTGTTGGTCAATGGTAGATCAAGCCAAGAAAAAAAACTTTCACTCGTTCTCTTCATCCAAAACATGACTGAAAATTATAACATTTATAACCTACAACATAAGCTACTAATGAAAAATGAGAAAATTCAATAGTTTTACCATGAAATTAGGGCAACATGTGAATATGTGCATTAGGTTCTTCGGAGTCCAAGAAGTCCAAATACCATATTAATCTTTACAATCCCACCTAACCCTAACACCTTGTGAAGCTAATTCATCGAGATTGATGGGTTCTTGAAGAAGGCGATGTCATTATGCCCTAACGATTCTGGGTATGGAAATATGATACAAGTTGCTATTCTTTTCTATTTAAGCTCCTCAAATGCCAACGCAACGTGTTACTATCCACATATCCACATGGACTCCACCTCACTAGTATAACAATACCACTGGAAAGAATGGTGTAACTAGATGATTTCCCAAAATTGAATACCATTGCAAGTTTTCTATGTTGTTTTGTTGAAAAAAAAAAGAATTGTGGCTTAACCATTAACGTTAGAATATAGAGACTTTAATGAAGATTTTCCTTAAAAAAAACAATCATATATTATATTTAATCTCTAAACTGACAGAAAGGGTATAAAATAACTAAAATATCTCCTTCCAAGTAGTAACTTCTAATCACTAAAACAACTACAAAGTTCCAACACTACTCTTGATATCATTTGTAATGTGCTCAAAACACAACTAGTTACCTAATATTCTTGAAATCAAGTTAAAACTACTTAATATTTATTTTAAAGAAAACACGACTCAAATTTTTAACCAATGTGGGGAGTGTTATCATAGGACTATATACAAACTACATCAATTTTTTGAAAGTGTCGTGTCAACCATTTAATAAGAATAATTGTATGATAAGCCAATTTAACATATACATTACAATTGAAGATTGTGAGCGAAAGACTTCTAGGGCTACATCATTAATAAAAAGTGTAATTACAAAGAGAGGAAAAAGAAACTATATATAGAACAAAATTAGGGTAAACCTAACTAAGAAAATATGTTGAAATTTACTTATAGAAGGTACAAGATATGAGTAGCTGTGCATACAACAGAGGAAATAAACATTAACTATATGATTGTTATTTAGAGAGCCTCCTTAGCAAGCCACCTCATAAGCATTCTTAAGCATTCTTTAGGTTTGTACTCTGGAGCTGTGTGACCTCCTCCCTTTAACAACACAAAAAAGTCAACCATCATGATCATAACAAGTTATGTTTTTTTTTTTTTTTTTTTTTTGCCTCATGAAATTGCAAAATTTAGGTTCAAAAATTTGTTGTATTGGCTCCGAGTTAGTATACTTGCATAACACCATCCCCGTGGGAGTTTCAAGTCCATTGTACATTGTGCTCTTCGTGGACACTCGGTTTTTATGCCAACCACGTAGAAGGCCACTATATATGTACACTGATTTGCATCACATTATGCTCATTGGATGTGAAAATAACCCTTTGAAGATTTTATTTTGTTGTGTTTTTTTAGTAAGTTAAATCTTGCCATTTTCATGAGACAAGAAGATCAGCGAGTGAGAGGAGTTGAGGAATATATCTCACCTTTACAGTAGCATAGGTTAAGCTGTATTCATGGTTCGAGTATTTCACAGTGTATCTGCAACAAAATAAGATAGCAACATAGTTTTAGAAAACTAAATACTTCTATTTTTAGCATTTTTTTGATGATAGCAAGTCAATGAAAATACAACTAACCCGGCTACTTGTTCATCGACAAACCAAGGTCTCCAGTCATTCACAGCTAACAGATTTAGCGATTCAATCCAGTTCATTGTAGCCATATACGGAACAACCATGTCATGATCTCCACTGGAAAGTGTAAAGATTTTCTTTAAATTCATTAAATACGACATGCCCACAAGAAGCTAAATCCACATTAGAATTGAAATTCCCACACTATGGTTGTTTTGACTCAAACCCTTCACCTTTTTTCAAGTATATATAACCCTAGAATCAATTGTTATAATCCCTTTGGGATCAAGTGGACTCTAATTTTAGGAAAACGGGAATAGGTATAAGATAATGGGAGGAAGAGAGATAGATCAAGAGTAATACCTATATACAAGAGCTCGACAATTTTTATCAGTAAGGTTTCGATGATAGGAAACCACACTCGGGACATTATGAAAGTAAGATACGGGTTCCTTATCAAAATGAAAATGCAAGGTTTCATTGCATCGCACCCACTCGATTTCGTTTAACTCCTGGTGATCATGAGATCATTAGTATCCTAAATAATCAAGATTAATATAAATTAATAAAAACTCATTGTGAACTACAAACCTCACGAATGTTAAGAGCCTCTCGAACGTCTCTGCTATTGGCCCATATAGAGGAGTACACATAGTTGTCATCCTACCACAAATGTAAACGAAAGACAAAATTCATAAAAAGAATGAACGACTGACACTTGTAAGTATCACCTATATAAAGACATAACACCTGAAAAAAAAAATTGCATATTTTTCACTCATTCTAAAGAAACAAATTTCACCTATATCTAAAAAGGCCGTTTAATTTACTTTCTGTAGTGATAACAATGTAAGATGTTTTAATTTTCATGTCACCAAAACAATTGGTTTATGTTAAAACTAAGTGTCTGATATGATGGTCACAAAACTCAATGACCTTTAATTTATTAGGGACAAAACTAAAAGTTTTCAGAGAGAATAATACACGACACCATTGTTTCTGAAGTTGAGGCAACGACATAATATCCACAGAAGTTTTGTCAAGAGATCTTAAGTCCCTCCTGAAGATATGAGATTTTATGGCATTTGAAGATTCACAAAAAGGCTCTAAAACGTGGGCCGTGCGAATTCTTTCAAGACACTGCAGATCGAAATAAGAAAGCATTAACTAAACAGAAAATATACAGATTGTGAAGAGAAATTATTAGCGAGTAAGTAGTATGTAATCCAAGTTGAAGTCTAACTCAGGCACCTTATCTACCACTTGAAGATAATGTATGCAGAGAGTGTTGTTTGGATCTACATTCAGGTGCTCACCTTGACAATTATCTTCGGTTAACTACAAAAATATGCAACTTAATTAATTAATTCCTGGGCATATTGCAATTATGATTTGTGTATTAGTGGACCACTCAAGTGTAGTTATATACCTTGTAGATTGAATCTGATAAAAGTGCCATACGATGAGCAAATGGTATTCTTGAATTATACTCACCACTTGTGTCTGTTAGAGGATTACCAAGCACGTACCCCTAAGTTTGAAAACATATATCAAAAACTTTAGGTAAAGCTTTTTTGAAATCAAGTCATGCACACCAACTATTGTTCATTTTAGAATTGTAAAAAGAGAATGAAAACATAAATTCAATTTGTACTTTGATGTTGATTTGTGGCCATTCTCCAACTTCATTACCTATAAAAGAGGGAACCAAGAAAGACATTATTTACCCAAAAGAAACATAGCAGACTACACAAGAAGATTATAAGATTGTAATGCATCGTATTTTTGAAAACCATATATATAGAAAGGATTTTGAATATACCGTTATATATTTCTGAACAATCATTGGTGTCACTAGGCCAGTGTAGGAATCAGCACCAATATACAATGGATTTTTGAGAAATTTAGGATGATCCACAAGCCACTGTTAATTTAAAAAGAACATTTCAATAGCAAACATTAATGATCTTAATTTGAATCCAAAACAGATAGATTTCTTCATTTTCAAGGACACAAATTGAACATGTGAATATGTGATCATATCTTCAAAACTGGAAAGATAAACCTTTAATTTCATCAGGAAATTTACTACCTTACCTTCCTTAGAAATTGGTAAGTATGCATTGTTGATGATGTATCATTTGTTATATAAGCTTCCAGGGTTTTTGCATATGAGAATCCAGTTCCAGCAGGTTGATCAAGAAATATTATGCTGGCTGCCTAAATTTTAACACTCGTTTCATTATATCATCAAGAAATAGACTGGAAAATTTAAAATGAAAATCATCAAGTAAAATTACACCTTTGTCCAACTGTGAGGGTTTATCTGGAGCATTGTCTTCTCCAAAGTGGAATTCGCATAGTTGATAGTGAATGGACCTGCAAGCAGCAACTTGTTAAATAAAATCTTCCTAAGTAAATTTAAGGTGGAAATACACATAATATGGCATTAACATATGATATTGGCATATTATGTTAACACACACACAAGAAATAAGAGACAAAATTAACATCATTTTGATCCCCATCACTTTTAAGGCATATGAGGAATCATGTTTGACAATTCCACTTAAAGATAAATTATGGCATTTTCATCTTCAAACACAAGACGGTTTCCATTTTGCACTGAGTGAACCATTTGAATGACAGTAAATGACCATTTTACCCTTTGTCTGAACTTAATGGAAATAACCCACACACTTAAGTACTATCAAATTCCAAATTCCAAAACTAAAATTATTTTTAGTATATATATATATATATATATATATATATATATATATATATATATATCTATAATATATAGATCTAAGAAATACCTATTTCATACAATAGGCCAGAAAGAGCAGAACAACCAGGCCCTCCTGTGAGCCAAAGCATGAGAGGGTCGTCTTTTGGGTTCCCTTCCGACTCAACAAGGTAGTAAAATAGTTGCACCTCATCGGATTCTCCAACACCAATGTAACTTAAACCACATTGTTGTCTTAAGAGTTAGTATATATCTACCATATTAAACAACATATAATAATAATAATAACAACAACAATATATAAAAGGGTTAGTTGCAAGAAATACCAACATACATTTATGAACGTGTTTATTATAACATTTTACTTCCATACTCTCCTATAACGACATTGTACTTTAAAAAATCTTTCCGGTTATAACAAGGTCGTCCAGATACAATGTTAAAATGGTGTAGATTTTTAGAGTATAATGTTTTAAAAATTGAAAGTATAGTTTTCTAATAGATAGAAAGGAAAACAAGATGAAACATGAGTAAATAAAATCAATGCAACTTCATTACAAAGAACAGGGCTTTACCCTGTTTCGAGTGTAAAAGGAAGATCACCAAGCAAACCTGGCAGAGTCTTAACCAGGAACCGTGATTCAGTTACCTCCAAAGAAACTACCAGCAGTAAAAACACACCATAAAACACTTGCGCAGTGGTAATAATTTGCATCCTACATCACCATTAACATGCACAAATGAAGCAATTGCGGTGATCGATTTTCCAAAATATGAGCCCCATATGAAAGTCAAAACTTTCCACAGGTTTTCAATGTAATCCTCGATCAATTGATGCCGAAAAGGAAAAAATAAAAATAAAAAATAATGAATTGCATCACGGGTTTACTATTCATCGGGACTCGGGAGTATAATAAAAGAAAGACATCGATTGAAACGCAAATTCGGCAGTATATCAGAATCTAACGATGGAAGCGTAAAGAATCTGGGGATGTAATTATACCTTATATCTGAATTGAAGTGCGCTAAATGATTGGATGACTTCCGAGTTCCGACCGAGTACTGTTCGTCTTACTTGTGCAAACTTTCCTGGAGTTGACGAAAGAGTCGTATGTTAAAAACTCTCTAATCCATTAAAGTTATGATGATTCCACGTCAAACATCCCATTATTAATTATTTTATTTATTATATGTATCATTTTACAAATAGTTATACTTTTTAATATTTATTACTCATCTTTCCTAAAATTATAGTTCATCTTTCATTTTTGGTTTATTCCAAAATAATAGTCAACTTTTAAAAAATAAATAATATTTTTACCAAAATATCTCTCATTTTTACTTAACCAACTAAACATTTAATGAACATTAAATGAGAGTAAGGACAAAACTATTATTTTATTGTATAAAGTTAGTGGTAATTAATGTTTTCTTAATCTGCATGTTTTTTGTCTGTGGACAATAATTTTGGGACGGAATGAGTATTATTACTAGTGTAAAACTCATGTATTATATGAGTTAATTTAGAAAAAAAAAAGTTAAATATAAATGTCAAAATATTTGAGAACTTTGAATTTAAAAGAAAATAAGAAAAATAATAAATTGTTATAATAGAAATGTTTTTTATCTTTTAAATTTAAACAAATAATTTAAATAAACAAAAGAAATTAATAAGCTTTAATTTGGAAATTTGAAATTAGAAGGTAAGTCATCAATGAAATTGATATCTATTTATTATTATATTTATTGTAATTTTACAAATAGTTATACTTTTTTTTAGGGATTTTGCGAAACCAAATTTTCTACCTTAAGATAAGAATTGTCGATCATATATTACTAACTTTATTTGTATGAGATTGAAGTAATTATTGTTAGGAAAAGGGATAATGACTTAAAAGGGTAACATATTTTTCAGTTTATACACATTAAGTCACTGATGTTTTTTTGTCCATATTTTCCCATTGAATTTGTTCAACTATTCAAATAACATCCTTATGACTTGCTATCGGAGGTTAAACCGGTTTCCGGAGGTATATCCCTTCTTTGTTTGCAATGAAAACAACCTCAAAGTTAGCATGGTCTCAAATGAAAATTTGATTTACAAGTGTCTTGTAGATTTGGAAAAAATTGTGGTGAATATTGAAGAGGTGAAAAATGATAAATTGAAAAAAATATGGAAATATTGACACGAAGACATGAAAACGCTTTGAAATTTTGTAACATTTGTTTTTGTTTTTTTATATTTTATTTTGTATCGAATAAAATACTTATTCAATTATGTTTATAGATTAGTAAATAAAATGAGTTTTGTTATGATTTCCTTACAAATATTATAGCATATGAAATATACATATATGCATTTGTAAAAATATGCATATATGTACCAAAAATGTTGATTTTTTTGGTTAAAAAATTATAATATTTTTTAAAATTTCCACTTTTTTTAAATTAAAATGATTTTTAAATGCTTTTAAAAAAAATTGCAGTTTTTGTAAAAAAAATATTTTTTTCGATTTTTTTTCAAAAATTCATATTTTCTATAAAAAATTAAAAAATCGGCAATTTTTAAAAAAAAATATGAAAACTTCTATTTTAAAAAAAATCCGAAAATTTGATTTATTATGTAAACTTTTAGACATTTCTATTAATATTTCCAATAACACAAAAAATTAAACATTAAATGAGATTGGTAAGATTACGATCATGCCCTTAATAAATTAGTTTTGATCTAACGCTCCACTTTTAGTTCTCGGGTTCTCGGGAAACTATGAGTTCTCAACCGATCTCACCCCTATATATATATATCTATATATATATTATATATTATATATATATATATATAATATATATATCATATATATATATATAAGGGCGGATCTTTATTAGGGCTAGGGGGGCTGTGGCCCCCCCTGATTTTTTATCACAATTAATCCCTATACTTTAATTTTATACATATTAGGCCCAAAAATATAAAATTTTGGCTGTGTGACCCCCCCTGCTCATCGATTTTTATACAATTATATTTCCCCTCCCCCCCCCCCCCAAATAAAAAATTGAAGCTCCGCCCCTATATATATATATATATATATATATATTATATATATATATATATATATATATATATATATATATATCGATATATATAGATAGGTTCAGGTTCATTTGAGACCATGCTAATTTTGTGAGATCGTGACCAAATCTAAAAAAAAATAAAATGCACAATAAAAGGAAAAATCCAAATATTCTTTTTTTAATTATTATTTTCGGAACTTTAATTACCTAAAAAAATAATAATAAAATAAAAATAAAAAAAATTACCATTTTTTTTAAATACGTGAAATATTCTAATAGAATATTACACTGTAAATATTCTAATGTAATTTTTAGATTGTTAGAATATTGTATTACATTTGTCAGATATGTAGAATATTCTAATATTCTACTAGAATATGTAAAAAGTGTATTTTTTTTTATTTTTTTTTAATTTTTTGGAAAATATAAATTTCGAAAATAATATTTGAAAAAAAAAATTCGAAAATTTTCAATTATTTTGCATTTTAAAAATGTTTTTTTTTATCTACTAAATGAGTGGCTAGGATTTTGTCTCACGGTATCACAAACTTAGGTCGTCTCGCATAAACCTAACCCTATATATATATATATATAATATATATATATATATATATATATATTATATATATATATATATATATAGAATGAGTCAGAGATTGAGAATTGTGAGGCCCATCCAACCATGTCTATTTTACAAGAATCGCCATATATATTTTTATTTAAATATTTTATTTAATTGGTCAATACCCATAAGAAAATACCTCCATTTGTTTATAAAAAAAGGTTTGTTGATCGACGCTTCGTGCCTTCATTTGGAAGTGGTTAAATTTGTTTTTAGGCAACACTGTTACATCAAGCGAGTTAAGGTCAATTTTATTTTTTATTGCATATTTTATTTACTGTTAATTGTAATTAATAATTTAGTTATGGTTTTATAATTTGGTTTATTATAATTATAAATTTATAGGATAAATTATGAGCAAGAAAAGAACCATCGATTCTTTTTTCAAACGAATAGAGGATGTGTGTGACCCACAATTGCATCCGGTTAGTGATAATATTGAAGAAGATGTTCATAATACACATCCACAACTTGATAGGAATAGTAACATTGAAGAACCCAATAATATTGAACATGAAAAAAAATAATATGTCAGATTTTTTGATTTGTGATCCAGGAGAACGGTCTTCAATCTTAAGCTATCCAAGTAACCAGTGTGATGAGATTAGACGATTATATATTAAACTTGGACCATACCAACTTCAAAAAGCAAAGTATCCATTCAGTCCTAGTGGTCCAAGAGGATCTATGCGTAGTTTTCAACAAGCTTGGTTCAAGAATTTTTGGTGTTGGAATATTCTGAGAAAAAAGATGTTGCATTTTGCTTCCCATGCTTCCTTTTCAATAAAAAACCTATTGGCAAATTCGGGTCAGATACATTTACCGTATCAGGGTTTAATAAATGGAAAAAGGTAAATTGTGGTAAAGACTGTGCTTTCATTGTACATGAAGGTAAGACTCCAGCCTCAGCACATAATTTTTCTGTTAGGTGCTATGAAGATCTAAAAAACCAGTTATGTCACATAGAGAATGTAATAGAGAAGCAAACGACTCAACAAGTTATGGACAATAGACTACGCCTTAAAGTTTCTATTGAAGCCATTGAATGGCTCACGTTTCAATGATGTGCTTTGAGAGGTCATGATGAACGACCTAACTCAAGAAATCAAGGGAATTTTCTTGAATTAATAAAGTTCCTTGCTTCTTATAACAAGATTGTTGCTGATGTTGTGTTAGAAAATGCTCCTCAAAATGCAAAGTAAACATCACCAGATATCCATAAAAGAAATATTACATGTTTTAGCTACAAATGTACAAAAAGCAATTCGTGATGAAATCGGGATGTTAAAATTTTGTTTAATAGTTGACGAGTCTCAAGATGAATCTAAGAAAGAGCAAATGGCTATTGTTGTGAGATTTGTTGACCAAGATGGGCATGTCAAAGAAAGGTTTTTGGACTTAATTCATGTTAAAGATACAACTTCATTGACCTTGAAAAATGAGATTATGTTCTTTATCTTATCATAAACTTAGTGTTCAAGATATTCGGGGTCAATGATATGATGGGGCTAGTAACATGCGTGGAGAATGGAATGGGTTGCAAGCTTTATAATTAAAGGAATGTCCATACGCTTATTATATACATTCAGGGGCGGATCGTTTAAGGGGGAAGGGGAGGCCATGCCCCCCCCCCCCCCCCCGTTTTTTTGCCCAATAAGTTGCTAAAAATTTTGACGAGTTTGGTTCTTGATGATGTGATTGAAATAGGATGCGGATGATGCTAACCAAAAACGAAAGTATGGACACAATTTCAAAATTGAGAAAGAAAAAAAGGTAAGTTACTAAGGTATTAAAACAACTGATATCAAAAGTTAACTCATTTTCAAGAAACCGGGACTCTATAAAAATATCAAATAAATAAATAAATAAACTTTACTAAATTCTAATTAGAGAAAAGCCCAAGACTCGACCTCAATTCAGACTTTTATAAACCCATAAAAAGTAGATCAAAGAAACCTAAAGAGTAAAAACTAAAAAACCCTAACCGCGTCTCTCTTGGATATGGTCGCCGCTTTAGAATTGACGTCGGACAATGTTGGAAACTCTAGCTCTTCGTCGCCTCAATGTCTGACAGAAACCGTCTGTTGCCATCTAGTTTCTAAGGTCTCCTTGTATGTAGATTTCTATCTTTTAACAGCTTCAATCTCTAATTTACGAATGCTCGTGTTTTATTTTTATAACTTCTGAAACTGTGAAACCATACGGTGAACGAAAAGTCTTTGCTTGTACTTCCTATTAAATGTTTTGTAAATGACAATGACAGAAGCCTATAACCTTAAAGTTTTTGTCAACTTTTGCTTTTTGCCTTATTCAATGTGTAGTCAAATAAATGATTTTCGTGATATAATATAATCATACTATAATATCTTCTATTAATAATTGACATCGACAATTTAACTAAATAATAAATATATATGTTTGGATTTTTTTTTGAGACTTTTGGTTTCGGTCCCTCTAATTTTACTTGTCGTGTTCCGCCCCTGTATACATTTTTTGCACATCAGTTACAATTGGCTCTAATTGCAGCGTCTAAAGATGTGACTGAGGTACATAACTTCTTTAAAACCTTAAACTTTGTAGTTAATGTCATATCTTTCTCTTCCAAACGTAATGATCAATTGCAAGATGCTTAAATTGCTGAAATTTCTCATTTAACTGAGGTTGGAGAAATTGAGAGTGGAAAAGGCATAAATCAAATACAAACATTGCAGAGGCCTGGAGATACTAGGTGGAGCTCTCATTTCAACTCAATATGCAGTTTGATGAGATTGTGTGGTCCATCTTGTGTAGTATTGCATGACATTGCTATAAAAGGTTCTACATCTTCTCAAAGAGGTGATGCAGCATATGCACTTACACATGCATTATCATTCGATTTTGTCATTGTTATGCACATGCTGAAAGAAATAATGGAGATAACTGACAAGCTTTGCCAAACTTTACAACAAAAATCTATTGATATTGTTAATGCTCTATCCTTGGTTTCTACAACAAAAATATTGATTCAAAAGTTAAGAGATGAAGGTTGGCAATTGCTTTTCGACCAAGTGGTTTCTTTTTGTGAGAAACATGGCATTCATGTCCCTAACATGAATGAAACTTATAGATATGTAATTCGCCAACGTCGTGAAAAAGA